CAGGGAGCCCGATGCGGGGCTCGATCCCAGGACCCTGGGATCATGACCTGAGCCAAAGGCAGACGCTTAACGACTGAGCCACCCAGGCACCCCGGCAAACACTTATCTTAAGGAGGCTGGCGTGGCTACATTCATAGCTAAGGTCCATTTAATGGCCAACTATTATCAGAGACCAAAAAAAGGGACAGTTCATGATAATATAGGAACAATTCATGGGCGTGAGCCTGATAACAGAACTTCAAACACCAGGAGGCAAAAATGGACAGAATTAAAAGGGCAAATAGGGGACTTGGGTGGCTCAGTCCAGTACGCGTCCGACTCCTGATTTCAGCTCAGGTCATGATCTCACGGTTGTGAGATGAAGCCCCCCATCGAAGCTTGAGATTCCCTCTCTCCTGTCTCTGCCTCTCCCCCGACTCACGCTATCTCTAAATAAAAATAAATGAAATCTTTAAAAGGGCAAACAGACGAATCCACAATGATTCGGGGGGAGGAACACCTCTCTTTCAGGAACTGACAGAAAAACTAGATCTGAAGAAAACAAACCGGCGAGGCTATGGAGGATCCAATCAAAGCCATGGACCTCCTCGAGCCGTGTGGAGTTCTCAGACACAGCGCCCGACAGCAGAACGCACACCCCTTAAGAGCACATGGAGTGCCCACCAAGCTGGACCTCATCGGGGCCCAGCACAAGCTTCCAACGCCCAAGACCGAAACTACGAGCAGTGTTTTCCGACTGTGGCATAAACGAAGGCAGAAGCCAAGAGGAGACGCAAAAAACTCCCAAGGAACTGGAAACTGAACCACACTAGTCTAAACCTCCCATGGGTCAAGAAAGAAATCACAGCAAAAACTAGCAAATATGTTGAGCGGAACAAAAAGGAAGAGAGAACCTATCAATGTGGGGGAGACGCAGCTAACCCACAGCTTGCAGGGAAACGGTCGATGGGGGCCGAGAAGCCAAGGGGGTCTGTCCTCGGTCATGGAGGTCCCCGAATTCAGGGTGTTACTGTCTCTCTCTTCTTAGGGGCTGCCCCTGCTCCGTGCATGGGGTCGTCCCCACGAGACATCTACCACAGCCCCTCTCCCTCCGTGACCCTCAGCGTGCCCATAATTACTACTCTGGGTCTCCCTCTGCCACGAGTAAGGAGCTTAGGGGTGGCCTTAGCCTCTGCTGCCCCCCCAGGGCCCTGCCCAGCACCCACATCCCGCTCATCAACCAGGACCCCCCACCCCCCGACTCCAACGCCAGTACTTACGCTTCTCCAGCTGGTCCCCAATCACCCTGAGGAAGGCCACAGAGATCATGAGCAGGTTGACAATGAAGCAGGCCTCACACAGCTTCCCAATGGTGGGGCCGCACAGCCCTCCAACCACGCCCTGGTAGGTGGCCTGACCGCTAACAGAGGCCGCGTAGCCCAGGATGACCAGCCCGCTGATGAGGAAGACCAAGGAAACCTGCGGGGCGGGACCATGGGGCCAGTGTGCATCCCCAGCTCAACACCCGAGCCCGCTGCCCCTTGGAGTCTGATACCCTCTCCACCAGACCTGTCACCCGCAGAGGCCACGTGCCGGCCAGGGGCCTCTCCCCAACGTGCCACCAGGCCCTCCCCTGCCCTGAGCCCAGAGCTACAGAGCAAGCGATGGTCAAGGCCTCTTAGGCTGTAAGTCTATGCATCTGGGACTCATACCTTCCTGCTCCAGTTGGACAAAAGAGGCATCGGAAACGCTGAGAGTCTAAATCCCTCTCCTAAAATTCCACGGGTTGCGCATTAGGAGTACGTATCATCGGAAGAGGACAACAAATCCATGTGTGCCACCCACGTGCATCCAGACAGAACACACCACCATACCCCAAAGCTTTCTCTAGCCCCTTCCCATCTCATTCTGCCCCTGTTCTGTCTCCACAGGAAACCTCTTCTCACACCCGGAATAACGTGTGTGAGGCCCAGCCACGCTGGGGGCACCAGCCCTTTATCCCTATTTTTCTGAGTGCCATTCCATCGCCTGGAATGAACCACAGTTGGTTTATCCATGCCCCTGATGACAGACATCGGGGTGGTTCTTCCTCCTAGGCTACTGGGGAAGTGCTGAGCATTCCAGAATAAGTCATTTGGAGGATGCATCTTTCATTCTCCTGGACACACATCTAGAATTGCTGGATCACAGAGGGGGTGTAGGTCTAACATTGCAACAATTTGCCAGACTGCTTTCCACAGTGGTTGTGCCGCTGGACCCCCTCCCCCAGCGATGCACGAAAGCCCCACTCGCTCCATGGTTAAATGCTCCGGAGCCTTTTCAGGATCGACGGCTACCTGTCCCCAAGCTGGACTGGGTCTCCACGATCCCGTGGAGGAGAGCAATGCAGGAGTTGGGAGACACAGCCAAGACGCCTGGGGAAGCTGGAGTGTCCGTCTTCAGACCCAGTTGATGCCACTGGACAAGCACAGGACTCCCAAAACAAACTTGAAACCTCAGAACCACAAGGAACACCCACGGTCTGTCCAGCCACGAGGTCTCTGTCCAGGCCATCCCTGTGCCTGGACCCCTCTCTGCCTCCAGCACGTCCCCTCACCTGGAGGACTCCTACTCTTCCCCATCCTCTCCAAGTTCACCTACTCCAGAAAGTCTCCTGACAGGCCACCCCGAGGTGGCTAAGCCCTCCGTTTCAGGCTCTCACAGAGCCACACTTCTCTTGGGCACATTTCTGCCTGTAGCTGGTGTGACTTGGCAGCTAGTCTCTGCAGATGTAAATCATGTAGATATAATTAAGGGAAAAGGGGTCTTTGCAAGTATAATTAAGCATCTTGAGATGAGGTCCTTCTGGATGGTCCAAATGGTCCCTAAATCCATGGACAAGGGATCTCCTAGAAGAGAAGGCCATAGGACGGTGGGGCAGAGATTGGAGGGATTTGGCCATGTGCCAAAGGACATGTGCCCATCCAGAGCTGAAGGAGGCAGGAAGGACCCTCCCCTCGAGCCTCCAGAGGGACTGCGGCCCTGCCCACACCGGATCTAGACTTCTGGTCTCTGGGACCCTGAGAAGGAAGTTGTTTTAAACGTCCCGTTTGTGGTCCTGTGGTCAGTCCGGCAGCCTGAGGACACAGATATTTACAAGTGTCCACGTCTCCTGGGGTTCTCAGGCTTCTTTACCCACCAGACTCTAAGCCCCATGAAGGCCAGGACTGTGTCTGTTCTGCGTATCATTTAGCCCCAGAAACATGCCCAGCACGTGGCCGGCACTCAGGAGGTATTTGTGGACAAAAGGAAAGGGGTGGCGGGGTCAGACGGAGCCTCTGCCTGTGAACGCCCTCTGCCCATGCCCTGAGCCATCCATGCAGGACAGCACAACACCTACCCCACGCCTGGGCCCGCCTCCCAGAGGCTCCAAAGGAAGTCCAGGTTCATTAAATTTCACAAAACCTCCAGTGCTAACCAGGTCATTAGAGACCTACAGCCTCGCACCAGTGACCTCTAAGCAGTGGGGTGTTTACATGCTTGTGAAGGGAGACATGGGCTCACTGGCCAGAAGTGGGGGAGGTCGCTGGCTGGGGACAGGGATGGGGGCTGTCGATCACCAGCCTCATTCCTTTCCTGGTTGGGCGCTTACGTTTATTCATGTTTGGCATCCCCTCTACTCAGGTCTGCTCAGGGCAGGAATCTTTAGACCATCCTACACAAAGTGTGAGTCACGCCGGCAGCAGCCCTGTCCCCTGGAAGCTCCTCAAAGACGCAGGACCTCAGCGCCCCCCCAACCCTGCTGAATCAACACCTCCACCTCAGCAAGGCGCCCGGGGGACGGCACAGAGCGTGAAGAGGGGGACCCCATGCCCCTGCCTCACACAGGGCACTGGCCACGTCCATGGCTGACCACCTGCTTCATCGTTCACTCTGTGGCCAGACATCAGGCCTCTTCCTCGTCGTTCTGAAGTCGTCACACGTCCAAACGCAGCGGGTTTCCCCCCCCCCTCACAGGCACCTGGACAAGCTCTTCTGTTTCTGCTGGGGCTCAGCTCAAGGCCACCTCCTCAGGGAGGCCTTCTCTGACCACTGCGTGCTGCATCGTCCCACCCTCTGTCACAGGACCCTTCGAGCACGACCACCGCCCCAAAGGATCTTCTTTGCCTTCTTGTATCTTACCTGTGTCCCCCGGTAGGAGGAGCTTCAGGAGGACAGAGACTGCACGGTCGTAGCCAGGGCCCCCCCAGAACAGGCCCTCGACCACCGCTGGGGGTGGCACGGGTTAGTCACCCTACACAGGGCAGGACCGAGCACTTTCCAAAAGGACATCAAAGTCCCCGAGGCCATTATCAGCTAGCTGCCAGAAAAAAGCACTTAAGATAATGTCTGCAGAAGAGCTCACCACAATACTCAGCGGTTGCTATCAGCTCGGGGGGCAAAGAATCCTTGCAAATAAAACGAAGCTGTGCTAATTAGCGGCCCTTCTCTGTGACGGATGTTCAGCCCCGGGCTCCGCGGGGAGGGAATTCGGGCTGGACGTCTGTGACTCGGCAGAGGGCCCAGCACGGCGGCCTGTGGGTGTGAGGGGCTCGCAGCACCTTACACGTGATCTGACTGCGCGCAGGGTCCGACTTTCATCATGGAGCTGCAACCAGCAGGTGAGAGCGGCCAACTGGCCAGGTGATGGCGCCTTCCCAGCCACCTGCCAGGTTCACTCGCTGCAGGTGCCCTCGAGCACCGGGCTTCTGCTCGGCCTTCACCTCCCCACCCTCGGCAGCCTAGGGGTATTCTCAGCTGGGGGCTGCAGCGGGCTGACCCCCTCCCCAAGCAGCGGAGAGGACCCAAAAGCCAATCTCTAAGGTGTTGGTTTCTACGACGGGCAGCACCCCAGAAACCATTCCAAGGATCCCGCCTGGATCCCTCCCCTGGAGACCCCCCCAAATGCTCCGCAGGGGCTTACCAGCTCCACCAGGAATGCGGGGGCCACCCCGCCCGCCTTGCAGAAGGCCCAGGGGAAGTTGAGCAGGCCGGCCCCCAGCGCGGATTTCAGGAGGATGAAGACGGCGCCCAGCGAGGACAGAGCAGGGCTGGCGGCCACAGGGACCGGCTTCTCTGGGAGGCCTGGGCGGCCGCCCGTCCCCCCCTCCATGGCTAGAAGCAGCAGCAGGGTGGGGAAAGGGGCAGTCTTCACACCACCTTCCCGGCTAGGACGCGTCCTGCTCCCCAAACCAGTCAGAGCAACGCATCTGCCCCCATGTCCCCACGCCACGGTCTACCTTGTGCTGCCCCATTAGGTGACCCGTTCCCTGGCTGGCCCCACAGCCTTGGTCCTCAGCCCTTCTGCCCTCACCTGCCCACCCTTTATCATCACTCGGGTCCTCCCACGAAAGCCCGAGAGCGGCCCCAGCCCCTCACCCTGCTCTGCCAGGCTCCACTCCTCCCTGCCCACCCCAGCCCCTCGCCTTTACCCGCAAATACCACTTCAAGGTGACCAGTCAATCCTCAGCCATCAGGGACAGGGCTCAGGCTTGCTCCAGGTGGTTCAGCTGCATTTCCTGGGCCCCACGGCTGGAAGAAGGAAAATTCTAGCTCTGCCAGGGGGTGGTAAACCAATCAGGAATTAAGGGAGCCTTAGAAAACATGTACTGGGGTCACATCCCCACACCTAAGGGGACAAGGACAAGAGGCCAGAGCCATCCATCCCAAGAGCTTGCGGCTTCTGAGACTCCCAGCCTGAGGAGGGGTCTTAAGACTCCCTCCCCTCCCCCACCCGGGTGAAGGCCCCTCCCAGGAGGCGGGGCTTTCCTGGCGGCCTGAAGGTCGGAGGGGGCGCAGCTGGGAGAGCTCAAGGGGCAGGCCTGCACCTCCTCTCACCACAGACCCCAGTCTGAGAAAGCGGGCCTGGAGAGAGCTCGGAGCTGTGTCCACACTTGCTCAGTGTGTGATCTCTCCGAGCCTAGTTTCCCATCTGCCAAGGGGTCTGTCTGCCCACCTTGCAGCTCAAAGTGGGCTGTGGGGCCGCTGTAGACTCAAGTGCGGGCAAAGGCCCCGGGCAGTCAGCAGGTGCTTCCCCGAGATCCTCTGAAACGAGCGTGCACACGAATCACCTGCGGTCTTGTTAAGAGGCAGATTCTAATTCATCGCACCTGGGTGGAGCCCGGATTCCACAATACTCACAGGCTCCGGGGGGTCAGGTGCTGCTGGTCCGGACCATACTTTGAGCAGACACCACGTCTCCGACCTAAGACACGGTCAGCTAAGATGGCAGAGTACAGGGAACTGTCCTTTCTGGAAAATGCACATTCACGAACGTCACACCTCGAATTGCAAATGTGAACCTGCTCACTCCTGACACCCAGCTTCGAGTCCCCCCCCGAGAGCGTGTCACAACCCAGTGCTTCTGACTCAGTGGGTCTGGGAATCTGCATTTCTAACCAGCTTCCCGGTGATGCGGGCAGAGCTGGTCCAGGGACCACCTCTTGAGGACTGCGGCTTGAAGTTAAACATCTCCAAGGCCCTGGAGCCTCACCCAATCAGTCCTTATCTGACAGACACCAGATCAGCGCCGAGGGCTTCTTCTCCGTGTGGTCACCAGCAGACTGACTGTACCTTTGCTGGCTCCGCACAGAGCGTGTTCAGTAAGCACGGGGCCCGCCGAGTGACCAGCCTGTTAGCACGGACCTCAAAAGGGACCTGGGATGGTGGCCCGGGAGTGCACAGCTGGACCACGTCTCGAGCAGCACTCGCTGCCACCAGCTGAGCAGTGCTGGGAGCCCGGCCCCGCAGCTGGTGCCAGGCATCTCACTGAGCCCTCACATCGAATCCCGAGGGGGTGCCGGCAGGGCCACGCTCCCCGAAGACTCCAGTGGGTAACCCCTCCTGCCTCGTCCAGCTCCTGAGGACTCCAGGCTCCATCTTCACATGCCACCTCCCCAGGATGATCTCATCTCCAGATCCTTACCTTCACTGCACCTGCAGAGACCCCTTTTCCACATCCACGGCTCTAGGGCACACTATTCAGCACCCTGCTCCCCACGTATCTGGGGTCTGAGTGTGTTCTCAGTCATTCTGTCGGACAGTCATTCGACAAACACTGACTCAGAGCGAATCGGAGGTGAAAGAGGTCTCCACTCTGGAGGAAGGGGCGACCTTTGAGGAGATCAGGACCAGACAAATAGGCACGGTCCGAAGGGAGGAGTGACCACGAGGCTCCAGGAGCAGGGGCATCTGGAGGAGCTCCCGGGAGGAAGGTGACAAGTCTGTGCACCCTTGGTGAAGGGAGGAGGGGAGGCATTCAGGGGAGTGGGGAGTCCCCGTGAAGGCTCAGCCGGGGGTCCCGGGAAGGCCTCTGTGTTCTGCTGTCCCCCAGGGTAGAGACCCAGATCAGGCACCTGGGAAAGGCCTTTCTTGCTGTAGGAGACATTGAAACCCCACCTCCTCCTTCTGGAGGTTTTCCAGGAACGCAGTGAGGTCATCGGCCCCCCGAGGAGGGTGGTGGGCACCTGGGGAAGGCAGGTGGAGCTGGGCAGCAGCCCAGGCAACTGGAGGGCAGAGAGCAAGCCCAGGCTCAAGCCTCAAAAGCTGCACAGCTCTGACCGGCTCCCCTCACGTCCTCCCCAAGGCAGTGAGAGGAGATCAAGAGCCTCACCAGCGGCTGGCTTTGTACTTCTTAATCTGGGCTCTGGAGCCTGGGGCACCTCAAGGTCCCTGCCTGGACACCTCATTAGCTGCCCATTAACGTGCATGACTTAGAAATTGGCCACTGGGCTGTGAAATTCCACTCAGTGAGGAAAACCTCTTAGTTCTGAGAGGCTTTGATATGCACCCCCTGCCAGCCTCCCAGGGCTGAGTGACCTTTCCAGCTGCGCTGCTGTGGAGAGGCGCCCGGGGGGCCCCATCCTTGCGGGCAGGCGGCTGGCTCGGGTGGGGTGCACACTGGCACCTCGGAGCACCAGGCAGGTGGTGGCTCAGCCCAGTGCCCCCACGCGGGAGCCGTCCCCCTTCTGCGTCATCCCAAAAGGGGAGCACCTGTCATCAACTGACCTTGTCAGACCATCAATGACCCTGTCATTCTTCTCCAGGGTCCAGCTCCTTTCCTTCTCCACACAGTACGGGTCACCTGATAGGTTCAGAACTGCAGGGAGAAAGACCTCACTTGTTACCCTGGACCTCGGGGCTCATACCCCTTAGAAAGTTCTGGAAGGTGGATGAGGGCAGGTCCCAGGTCCCCTCGTGCACTGGCTCTGCAGTCTGGGTCTGGGCCTCGCTGGGACCACCTGGGAAATGGGATCACAACAGCTCCCACCCCACAGGGACGTTGGGAGGACTCAGGAGAATGTGCTCTCGGCACAGAAGTGAGCAGTAGGTGTCATTGGGAATAGTGCATGTCAAATTCCATTACTGGCATTTGTGTGTCTTTCTCTCGGTCTGATTCTGAGCTTCTGGAAGAACGTTCTCAACACTGGCTGCCCAAGGAACTCTTCTAGAGGAACCAGAGCCGGACTCACCCTCAGAGCTTCGGTGACCGTGTTCTGGGGCGGGCATCCGGATCGCCACAAAGCCCCCCCAGAGCTGCTAAGGTGATGTGTAGGAGGAGCACTGTTCTTTGCAGGAAGGGACCCTGCCTCACTGTGCCCCTGGGCCCACGGCCCCCCCCCCCCGCCGTTACCCTCGGCATTTGCCCCAGGCCTCGGGCAGCTTAACAGAAGCCAGCTGGGCTGAACCAGCCACGGAAGCAGAGAAGCCTCAGCTCTTCAGGCACCAGGAGCCGGTGGCCTGTCATGGGCAGGTCCACCCGCAGCAGCTAACCACGGACCCACAGTTCTCTTGCGCAAATGCACCACAGCTCGGGGACAGAAGGACCCAGCGTGCTCGGCGGACTGACAGCTCGTGAAGATGTCCGCATCCCGATCCCAGACCTGTGAACGCGTGAATGGACACAGCAAAAGGGACTCTGCCAATGACAATTAGGGACCTTGAGATGGTGCGAGTGTCCTGCCTGGGCCGGCTGGGCCCTCAGTATCACCCCAGCGCCCTGACCACAGGGACACAGGAAGGGTCAGAGGTCAGGGGGGAGAAGGTGGGGTCAGGACTTTGGAGGTGGGGAGGGGCCAGGAGCCGAGGAACGCAGGCCCCTCTAGAGGCTGGGAAAGGCCGGGAAGCTGGTTCTCCCCGGGAGCCTCGGGAGGGAGCCAGCGCCGCCCACACCTGATTTCAGCCTCTGGGCCAGAACTATAGGAGACTAAATGTGTTTTCGGCCCCAACTTCACAGAAACTTGCCACAGTGGCAACAGGAAACGGATTCACCCGATACCCTGGGTTCTGACGCTCGGGCCTCTCAGAGAGGCTGGAGGTCCGGGACCCCCACCCACCCGCCTCCGCCCCACACTCAGGGCAGGGGCTGGGCCTCTGGGTGACACACGGCCCAAGGGCATAGGCCGTGCCAAGTGCTGCTGTGCACCCCCTCCAGTGAGGGGCTGGTGCCCCAAATTAGGACCCAGAACCCAGCTGTGGGTGAAGGGAGGGCACTGCACCCTCGCAGCCTAAGGAGGGGGGTGCTGTTTCAGCGGCCAGACGGCAGGCTGACGGCAGGGTAGTAAGGACGGCGCCTGGCCCCTGACCCCTGGGCCCCTCTGCCTCTCCCTGCCCCCACGCCTGGTACAAGAACCCCCTGGGGAGATGCGGGGGTTTGGGTGGTAAATCACGTAAAATCCACCATCTGAGCCCCTGAAAAGCATAGTCCTGTGGCAGACTGCATTCACAATGTTGTGCAAGCACCGCCGCCACAGAGTTCCAGAACATTCCATCCCCCAAAGGAAAGCCCTGTACCCATCGGCAGTCGCTACCCGCCCCCACCAGCACACTAGCCAGTTGTCTGTCCCTGCGGCCGCCTGTCCCGGACATTTCACAAACACACGATCACACGCTCTGCGGCCTTTTGTGTCTGGCTTCCTTCACTCAGCAGGACGTTGTCAAGGTTCAGGAATCAGTACTTCATCCTTTAGTGGCTGAAAAATGTCTCGGTGTCAGGATGTGCCACTTTCTGCTCATCCGCTCATCTGCTGACACACACATTTGGGTTGTTTTCAGCTTTTGGCCATTGTGAATAGTGTGGCTGTGAAAGGTCATGTACAGATTTTGCTCAAACACCTGTTTTCAATTCTTTTGGGTCTACGCCTAGCAGTGGAATAGCTGGGTTGTACGGTGGTTGTTTATGGGGAGCTTGTAAAACAGACTTCAAAGCTCCTCCCAAGGAGCCTGTGACTGCAAGTCCGGGGCCAGGCCCAGAAATGTGTATTTCTAAGCGACTCACCTGCAGTACCCTGTGTCACCAGCAAATGAAACCAAGATCTGTGTGTTAATATCCGCTTATGCGGGTACTACCAACCGTTTAAATAAAAAAAAAAAAAAAAATCAAGAATCTTACTATTTCTCTGGAAACTTCTATTTCATCTACATACGAGTCCTCGACTCCATTTTACGTCCAGCAAATCTAAATCTAAGTAGCACCCCCATTATTACCAGTAAGTGGGCATCCTTCCTGCCACGGGAAAAGGGGAAGCAGCCTGGCCTCAAGGGGCCCAGGCCAGACCTGGGCTGAAATGCTGGTCTCACCTTGGTTTTCTCGCCTGGGAAGTGGCAGTGAGAGCATCACAGGTGGCTGAGACGCCCAGGTGGCTTCCCGCACGCAAGACCCAGGCCAACGCCAGGAGGGTGGTGGGCACTCTGCAGACGCAGTGCATCCACTCACTGCTAGGGCAGTGCCCTCAGACCCACCGTGCATGGGGCCCCCTCCTGTGGGGGCACACAGGACGGACACAGGCACGTGCAAGAAGACCTCAGACCCTCGTGTCCCTTAAGGCGGGGCTGAGGGTGGCGATGGGGCACCCAGCGTCCCTGTTTCCAGCTCACCTCCACAGCACCTTCGAGGTTCCTGCAGACAGGACCCCTGCCTGGCTCCTGAGAGACAGCACAGTTAGGGATGAGCCCTGGGGCCCAACCGCCATGCCCAGCCTGCTCCCTCAGATGTATCTGTGGTTGTGGTGGGCTGACTTTTTTTTTTTTTTTTAAGATGCAGGTGCTCTCTGGGATGATGGGAGTTCACACCAGGGCAACAAAGGATCCCCGACAAGCAGGGAGTTGGCCCAGCCTGGGTGCAGCCATCACATGCATCTGTCACCGTGAAACGATCTATCACTGACAACAGCTGACACAAGGCAGCACGGCTCGGTGAGCAGGGCCCCCAGCAGGAAGCAGCCGGGCTGGAACTGGAGCCTGAGGCTACAGCCGGGGTGCAGTCCAACACCTGTGCCTGGATGACGACATCCCCTTCATACGTCCCAGGTGGACCCTGGGCATCCCAGTGCAACCACCAACAAGGGCTCTTTTAGGGGAGGACATCTGTTTTCCAGACCCCGTTATCAACTGGTTCTCCCCAGAGACCTTGTCCCCTTTCCAGGGAAGCACTCCCCACGGAAGACCTCTCTCAGCTCAGCCTCACCCACTCCTCCATCCCCTCCCGTCCTCCTATGGCTCTGTCCAAAGCCTCCATGTCCAGTCATCCTCCTAGTGTGTCACTGTCCCAAAAGTGAGGCGTACAGGCTCCGTTCCAATCCTGCCTGCACCAGTGGTGTGGTTCTGGGCCAAGTACCAGGCCCCCGGCCATGCACAGAGACTCAACGCACATAGTCTACCTAGCGCGGTCAGCCCAACACACGGCTCCTGAGAGTACCCCTCTGGCTAGAAGACAGGAAAGGATCCACCTTCTTTTTTACACGTTACACCTCTATTAACGCAGCGCTTTTTGGCAGGCACATCACAGAACAGGCTGCCAGCTCCTGGGCACATCCCCATCCACACCCAGGGCTCCAGAACGGCTAGGAAGCTGCCCCGTACTCAGAGGCCCACTAGAGTCTTCACGTGGTCGCTACTGAACTTCACCTTGCTACATCATCCCCCGTGCAGTTTCCCTTCATGGAGCTGCGGTAACCACGGGTCCCTAAAAATCCTACTACTTGCTAACAACTCTTCCGTTCTTGTCCTGTCCCAACTATGCGACCCTACGGACCCTATGCCCGAACCTAAACCATACATGTGTGTGCCCCGGCTGGCACAGTCCACCCTGTCTAAACAGGAGAGCCAGTCCCGAAGGCAAGGGACGCCCGTGGACGCCGACCTCAAAGGCCAGGTGAGGGACCTTCCCAGCAGGCAGGAACAGGAGCCACTCCCAGGTCCAAGTTCCATCTTTCGGGGAGGAGATGTCCAAGTCCGCAGAGAGACAGGCGCACCCACGGCCTTCAGCTGGCAGGGAGACTCTGGGGTCTAGAACTTCGTTCCACAACCACATGGCCTACAGTGTTAGGGAGACTTTACAACAGAGACAGAGAGAGAGTGTAAGTCACAAAAAATGTCTCTAATTCAGTCATTTGCCAACATACTCCAGGTTTCAGGCTTCTCTGGAACAACCTAAAGATGTGCTGTCCCCGAGACAAGGCCTGGGCATTCCAGTCAGTCCCAGCTCCCACAACCTGCTGTCTTACTCCAAGGCCGTGTCCTCATTCCCGGGACCTGCCTGTGCACGAGGACAGGCTGTGACCCCAGCTTCCACGGTGCCGAGCAGCAGGACAGGCAGCAGGACCAGAAGGCCCCATAACAACGCACAAGCCCCTGGTTCTGCCACAGTCGCTACCCTCGGACCCCCGACTCACCCGAGGACCGCAGGGCTACCGAACGCTTACGTCCTCCAGGCTGCTTGGGGTGAGAGAGCTTTGTGGGAACCCAAGAGATGCCTGCAACACCCCGAAGCCGCAGCAGAGTGCAGGGAGGAGCCGCAAGGTCACCAGTGTGACCGCCAAGGATGGCCTGTCGCAGGGAGAGGTGAACCTTAGCGACGTCCCCTCATCCCGTGGCCTGGGCCTTTCTGGTCCCAGGACCTCAGCAGCACCCTGATCGGCCTCTGCCCCTCCGGTCAGTCTGTCCTCACCTGCGACGTGAAGGCTCAGGTCAGCCGGCTGGCATACGGAAACAGACTGGACAGGCAAGGGTTAAGTATTAACGGGCTCCCCGGATTAGGTCATGGTTTCCTACGAATGGCACCTGGCAGATAAAAACGGCCTTCGTCAAAATTAAGACACTTTCATGCTTCAAAGGAGACAATCAGGAAAATGAAAAGACAACCAACAGAACGAGAAAACACATTTGCAAGTCACATACCTGATAAGGGACCTGGACCTGGAATACAAAAAGAGCTCTTACAACTCCGTGATAAACAAAACCCAATTACAAACTGAATCCGAACAGACAAGTCTCCAAAGAAGACGTACAGATGGCCCACAAACACCTGAAAAGATGTTCAACATCATTCATCTTTAGGAAAATGCAAATCCCAACCACAATGAAGACACCACTCAACAGCCACGCTGTGCTAGAAGGATGCACGCTCACGGACCTGGGGGAGGACATGGAGAGCCGGGGACCCTCATGCCCGGCCGCTGGGAATACAAAATGGTGTGTTCGCTTTGGACAAGAAAGCTTGGCAGTTCCTCAGAAAGGTAAACAGGGGTGCTCTAAGATCTTACTTCTGGGTATTTACACCCAACAGAGATGAAAACTGATGTCCACACACAAACCTGTACGCAAATACTCTTAGCATCAGTAATCCTAAGAGCCAAAAAGTAGAACAGTCCCGACGTCCCCCGACTGAGGAATGGATATACCAAGTGAGCCCATCCGCACGCCGCACTGTTGCCCGGGCCATGAAAAGGCATGACGTCCTGGTCACGCTACCACACGAGTGCGTCTTACAAACGTGCTAAGGGGAAACAATGGGTCATGTATCGCATGATTCCGCGTGCGTGCAATGTGTGGGCCAGGTACATCCCCGTACAGGAGGGGTTCTCATGGGCTTGGAGGGAAGGACTAGAGCTTGATTTCTGAATGGCAACAGAAATCAACTGGTAGCGACAGTGTGGCATTTGTTTTGGGGGGCTAATGACAATGTTCTGGAATCACAAGGGTGACGATTACACAACCTTGGGAATATACTAAAAACCACTGAATTGGACACGTCAGAAAATTTTACAGTATGTGAGTTAGAGCTCAAACAACCCCCCCTACCCCCCCTGCCCCCACCCAGCAGGCTGACTAGGAACCCGTTCCAGCAGGTCATCAGGGAGAAATGGGGCAAGCGGAAGAAGAGCCTGCAGGTCATCAGGGAGAAACGGGGCAGGCGGAAGAAGAGCCTGTTACACCCTTCTTTTCAGCTTCATACAGATAATGCGTATTTATTGAAAATTCTCTTCACCGACAATGGTGAAATCAAGACCCCAAATTACAAAACATGATGGCAGTTGATACTTATAAAAATAAAGCGAAGGTCTATGTTTCACAGATCTGTGCAAGTTTCCTTCAAATCTCAGTCTGTCCTTTCATCAAAAAGGAGATCACGGAATCTGTGTTATTCCTCATGATGTCATAGTAAAAAAAACCGCATTCCACTGACAAAAAAAATAGCTTTGCTTCCAAATAGCAAAAGTCTTTAAAGTGACTTTTCCCAACAATAAATATAGAAAATAGCCTTTGAGGAGCACAGTTCAGCTTGGTCAGGGCTTCCGCTGGTGTATCTCGGCGCACCCCTCGGGTCAGGAGCCCCCAGCCAGCCTGCCCGGGCCCCTCCGGGTGCGTGCCGTGGCCGCGGGAGGTCTCCCCGGAGGCTGATCCGCGAGCGAGCCCCTCCCGCAGGTCCCTGCAAGGCCCAATGAAGACAGACTCTATGCCACTGCAGCTGGAGACCTGAGCCCTCTCCAGTGGGGCTGCCCCAGGAAACCACCAGCGCCGCCGCCCCTCATGGCCGTCCTCGAAGGCTCTCTTTGGCTCTCACGGTCAGCTGGTCTGGTGTCACACGGAAGGGGTCTTTGGTGGGTGAGCCTGCTGCATGAGCTGGGGGCGCTTCACCCTGGGCTTCCTGCGCTTCGGCCTGCTTCTGGCCTTGTTGATCTGTACCACAAAGAAGGCCAGGACCACCATGGCTCCCAGGAAGGCAAACACGGGGATGGTCTGGCCCACCTCCTGGTTGTAGCGGCCAGGCATGATCCCTGCAAGAGCACAGCAAGGGTCAGGGGCAGCAGAGCTCTTCGGCCACAGCCTCTGCCTCGGAGGCCAACGCGGCAGAAACAAATGCTAGCGAACTGCATCAGTGAGGCTCACAGGGCAGACATCATCTGAAACCTGAGGTGAAGTGACCTGGGCCATCCGTAGAGAACAAACGAGAGATTCTCGGGTAAGCAGCCTCGGGAGTGAGGGTGGGAGGGGTGTCTTGAGGTGAGGTTTTTGCTCCTTCCACTCCCTATGCCACCTCAGACGGAGTCCACGACTGGCCCTTCCTCCGTCACAGACAACCTACAACAGGGGTGCCTAGAGCTGCTTTCGGTTTCCCTAAGTGCATCGCAAGACGGAGGAGTCTGGACACTGGGAAGGAAAGGAGGTGCTGGGGTCAGAGCAGCTGAGTGGGAGGACGAGGAGGGAGGCCGGACAGGGAGTAAGGACGGCTGGCCATGCCCCACCCTCCTGGGAAAGCCTTCCACAGATGGGACATGTGGTCACAAGTTAAGAGTGGCAGCTGGCGGACCCTTGGTCCCAGAACTAACCATCATCGGTACACCCCATGAGTACGGGCAAGGCCCTCAGGAGCTTGGCATCACCACACAAAGTTCCCAGGGTTGGAACACATGGGCCATGGCACGCCAGTTCCTGGAACCAGGGATCCCATGGGGAGCTGTAACCTCTTGGAAGAGCAAAGGGATCTCCAGAGAGAAACTGCTGCCCACACCTTGCTGGAATAACTGGGTATCAGTTGTTCCAGGTAAGGGAGAACCTGTCCCAAATGGTCTCGTCAGGCTGAAAGCCATTGCCTGCCTGTGGGGGGGACATTTTATGTCACTTGGGGTGAGGGGACACAATCAGATCAGCTGAGGGGCACAGACCTGCTTTCAACGGAGTATCCCAACCTAGTAAAGTCCCATCCCAGGTGGGCCAGAACAGAGAATCTGTGGAGACCTCTGGGCTGACGGTTTAGGGGCCAGGGTGGCTCAGCCACTGGCTGGGACCAAAACCAGCAGATGACAGGCGTTCCCAGGGATGCACCATACATGTCTGCTTGCAGAACTTTGACAAGAGTGTGCAAATTACTCTACTGGAAGAATTTTAAGTGTAACGCCTGGCTATCCTGAAAGAACTTCAAATTCGAAGATCACGGTACAATGTTCTGAAGGGAACACGGTGTGTTAATCTCTGAGACCCACTTCTGGCCTTGTTGATTCGTACCACAAAGAAAGCCTGGACCAGATGCTCCCAGGAGGGCAAAGACAGGTGCATCTGGCCCACCCTGCAGGGGACTGGGGGTACCGGAACAAACCAGAGTAGGGTTGAGCACACTGAAACACCTACGAACTGACCTCCAGGCATGTCCCAGGCACCGCTCTCTCCGGGAGACAACGGTCTCACTTGAGGGCGGTTCGATCGAAAGTTGGGCAATACCACTTTGTCCAGGTCGATGGAGAGCAGCTTCTGATGTTTCCAAAGATTACTTCACGAAAACGGATTAAAACAAAATAAAAATAAGCAATTGTACTAGCTTATGATGTTTAGCCAATACCTAAGAAATAAAAAGTAATTTAAGAAGAAAGGTGAAGTGACGTCCCACTGACACCTACCTAAGCCCAACAGCATAGCAACACTAGTGACAGCTTCGAGGTCCCAAGACAGAAATGTCAAATCAAGTCCACACGCGTGCGATAGAGGAGTATTCTGAGGAGGGGCCAGTTTTACTGGGCTCCTAACAGGCCCCACAGAGCCTGCTTCTGGTTAAACTGGACAGGCTGCCAAGCAGTGGGAGAGGAAAGCACACATTAAGCTCTGAAAGGAGCCTGAGCACAGGAACTGAAGCCAGGGCTCAGGGACCCGGGCCAGCAGGAAGGTGTGTGCACGTCTCTGCCATGAGGTACCACGGCCGGCCAAGCCTGCCTTCTGATGAACGTGGACCAAGGCGGCCTAGGAGGCTCCACGGGTGCCGGGAACCAGACATCCTCTCTGTTCTCAAGGACGCCACCACGAAGACGGAGGATGAGGCACACACGAAGAGGCGAGCAATCGAGAGAAGCAAACCATGGGAATGAGCATCGGCCCTGCCTGCTGGGCCAGGACGGGGAAGGAAGAACGGCAGTAGCACCGCTATTCTCGTTCCTGATTCTGAGACCCCAGCGTTTCAGGATCATACCTGAAGAACAGAGAGGCTGACATGCTGCACAGGGCAGCGAACAGCTTGGGCGGGGGGGGGTGCCTAGATTAGAGCAGACTGCAATCAGGCCATCTGAAGACTGCTCTGGCCGACTCGGGGGAAAGGAATACAGTGTGTTTGCTGATTACTTCTGGAAGCGGTCAGCTTGTCTTGTACTTTGGCCGACTGAGGCAAAGAGACTCCGTTCTCTGGGCACCTGGGGTGAAGGGGCACCGGGCGACCCCAGGTCTGGGAAGGGCCCTTTCTGCGCAGGAAGGAGAGAAACTACTCTCGCCTACTTGCAGCTGGGCAGCTGCTTGGAAAACGCTGGTGAGCCCGACACCTGTCCTGCCTCACGGGGGTGGGACTTTTAAGTTGCAGGTTTCATCATCTGAAAATTAAACTGACAAGGTGAAGTTACGGAATCAAGGCCAGATAAGCTTTATGACCCTGCAGCTGAATAGATGCAGGCTGTGCTTGAATTCTGACGCGAGATCCTGCTCTGGAATTTAATTATCTGGCGATGGCACTTTCTAGTTGAACAATCGTGGAAAACGGCACACTGCGTTGTAGTCTGAAAAATTCATGACACTCCCAACGGAAGGACGGAGGGCCACCTTGCCCACAGGTTCCTCTCGGGTGTGACATTCCTGCGACTGCTCTAAGTAAGGACACCTGATGCCCAACAACGAAACCAAGAAGGGGGTCATTTCAGAGGCGGACAGAAACTTGGCGCTCAGCATCGGCCTGACAGACACCAGGCCTTTCCAGGGCCGTCTAGAGCCGTCTGACATGGTCTCCGATCTCTCAGCTTCAGAATCGAGACCCAGACTGAGGACTGAAAATAATTTTCAACAAAATGTTTCACATGAGATAAGGGGGAGGCTGACTGGGCGTGTTAAGAAGCAATTCTCGAGAATGCTGGCGGATGCCAAATCCCAGGCGCTGCACGCCGTCCTTGACGGCTGGCTAGTGGCGGCCAGATTCCTGACGTGGGCACGTGTAAGGACCAAGGACAGCCTTATCTGCTTCTGAGTCCCGAACAGCACTGTGCGGAGAAACTGGGCTTTGGCAACTCTGGCCAACACTGACTGTCCCCTGAGTCGGAAGTGCTGACCACAGCTGGAATGAAAGTCTGGTCCAAATGCTACGATAATGGGAGGTTATGAATAAATGGGATGTAAAAATGGAATCTTATCAGAAATTTTTAAATGATGGGATGTTAACTAGAATGGAAAAGTACTCTGTAATTAAAGTTTCAGGAACAAACAGCTGACGAGAAGACGACATGAACCCTCTACAATCCCACGGTCTTCTGCCAAGCATGTTCTCAAGAGGGCAAACGGTCCGTGACTGGTGCATGACGAGTCTGTTCACAACGTGCAGGCATCCTCCTCTGGTGGCTCACAGCGTCGATGGTGGTCCTCTGTCCCCTGCCACCCCCAGCCCCGGCCACAGCAAAGCCTGCACACGCTGAGACCCAAGCTAAGGAGGAGCCTGGTAGGGGGAGCCCCAGCGGCCAGGAGGCGTGAGCTGTGCTGCCGGTGAGGGGGACGGCCGCCGCGGCACCGCTCGAAGAAGAGGTGTGGGCGGACCGCCCGCAAGCTGGCCCGGGGCACGGGCCCCTGCCTCACTGTGCCAGGACCCCAAATCGGGACAAGCCCCCATTCTTCTGGCCAGAAACAGGGAGGAGGAGTGAGGGGGAGAAAACACGGGAAGCAGCGTGCTCAGCTGGCTGAGGTGCCCAGGAAGAAACAGCAGGAACCACTCTAGCTGTGGCTTCTGAAAGCAAAGGGCGCAGACAAAGCGTAGATGGAATCAGTGAGATGAAGCAGCAGGTGGCCCCGCAGTCCCGGGCACCACACGCACAGGGACCCCGAGGGAGGGCGCAGACACACGCTCCGGCCCCCAGCAGGAACGCATACCGCCTCCAAGCAGTCTGAGCCCCCCGCCCCCCCGGGCACGGACAGAATAACCCGTCAGCATTTCAGAACCTGAACCAGAGGAATCAGAGCTGTTCAAGGGACAGCACCGTCAGATCTCAGCTTCTTAAGCAAGAATCAACCAAACCTAACAAAATGCTAATTAGCCAAAGCACTTCTTCAGGCAGGACACCACCAGAGCATAATTCTAAAGGTCGATGTGGGGGCTCACCAATTTAAATAACATCACAAAATGACAAGCCGGAAGATCGGATGATTTGATAATGATGTCAGTAAAATTCCATTCTCTTAGAAAAAAAGAGTAATGAATCACAAACCACGCAGAAGGAGTGGAAAAGCACAGGAAGGCACTAACCTGGGAGCCGTCTCGTTTAAAGGCTGTGGCTTGGCCCACGACAGGTGCGGACAGGCCGGCAGAGCCCGAGGCTCCGGGCCTCCCAAACGGGCCTCGAGGACCTTGGAGTACCGATGCAGGTGGTTCCCTGGGGCGGCAGCAACACCAGCGACACAAAACCACGGTCGTTAGAAGATGCAGAGACAAGGGAGGTGCCTTAGCCTGCCTGCCCGCCAACAGGCCCGCCACGCGCCCTGGTAACCTGGCTCCCAGTGCTGACTGGTGCCCCCAGGGACATGTGCTCACTGCTCACAGGGAGTGAACAGAGCAGAAGGACCCACGCCAGACGCATGGCCGTGGCCGGGCGACTTACTGACCACATTTCCACACACGAGGCTATACTCGAAGAATCTAACCTGTAGATACACTTCAGAAAGAAAAGCTTTCTTGGAGTATTTAATTTTCAGGCAAAACAAAAAAAATGAGCATTTTCAAATTTCAGAATTTATTTCTTAGACCTGCCCTGTCTAGTACTGTAGCCACGTGTGGGTACTGAGCAACTGAAACAGGGCTGTCAACGTTTCAACAATGTTCTGGTGTACTGGGCCAAAGAACTTCACTAAAATGAATTTCACCCATTTCTTTTTGCTTTTTTAGCGTGGCCACTGGAAGATCAGAATTGTATCTGCAGCTCACACTACCCTTCTGGAGGTCCCCACGGTGAGGATCTGCCACACAGCGGGCTAGGCCACACGTCGCCACGGCTCACTGCCCAGTGACCTCGACCAGTTACACCTCTCAACTCCTGTCTCTTCATCTATTTTCCCAGAGCTCTGCGAGGCCCTGGGGAGGTGACCCGTGTGCCTGGCACTTGGTGAGCGCTCAGAAACACTGGCCCTTCTTCCCGAAGACCCCCAGGAGCTGGGGCTCCATCTGTGAGAGGAGACAGTACATGCTAACTTGGGGCAGCGTGGGGACCTCGGAGTGCACGTCCTATCTATTCCCAGGAGAACAGCCCGCCTGTGAGCACTGGGAACAGCCGGGGGCTCGCCAACAGGCTCTGTTTCTAGCAGGCACGACGGCCTCCTGAAGCAGCCAGGCGCCCGCCACACACACTCACCTTCCATCCTCTCTGGAGTGGCCGAGCCGGCTCCGCTGGGAGGGCGCTGCCGGTTCCCGGAATGACTGAGGCTGGGAGGGGTCACCCCATAGGACGTGTACTGAAGGAGTGCATCCAGGAGCCAAAAACAGTCTGTGGGTTCAATGGGCAAGCTGTTTAGGGATTAGAGTGTTTTTAAGGAATCCCAACAGGAAAATAAAAGCCCCCCAAATGAGGAGAAATGGAAGGTGAGAAAATCACCTATTCTTGAGAAGCGCACATCCTCTGCGGTCAGCGCCAGCCCACAAAGACTAGCATGACGGACAGGACCTGACTGTGGGCCTCATTCCTGGCCCCAGGGCTCAAGTGGGTCAGTGCCACTGGGCGCTGGGCTGGACAGGCTGCCCAAGCGCCACCTGGCTCTGGGCCCCTCAAGATGAGGACAGAATGGAGCCCACTCAGGGATGGCCAGACCACGTGACACCCACTGAGCAAAGAATTGCTCAGAGAACAGGGCACCAAAGCTTCTGCCAATTTCTGGAGGCTGTCCTCAGGGAAGGATCTGGATCTACACTTCGAGGAGGGGAGCGAGGACCACTGTGTGCACTCCACTGGGAAGTGACTTCAAGGTCAACACAAGTGCAGAGTCTAGTAACTGGGCCAGTGGGCCCCACAATGTATGGGAACAGGGAACAGTCAGTTATTCTGAGGGACCCGGGAAGGAGTCTAGGTGCTGGGCAGCAGCCGACGGCCCTCATCACAGACCCACGTGAAGAGTCCTCTCGTCAGGAGACTGAGATGCTGCAGCGTCTGTAAACCTAGACCCGCTGCCTCCACGCGGGTTCTGCCCGCGTCCATCACTGCAGTCCCACTGCCACCAGCCGGGACTGGACAGGCCCCTGACATCTGACGCCAGCAAGCACTTCGCTCACTCAAGGGTGCTCTGGCCACGTGCTTGAGGATTTAGAACCAGGACAGTCCTCTCAGGCATTTAAAACTTTAATAAAGACTCTTACCAGAAGATCTCCAGTCTTAAAATCTCTATGGAAATAAAACATTAATCTTCTTTCAACTGTGACTTTAACCTTTTTAAAAAGACCAACCACATTCTGAGGATTTACACAAAACGCTAGGAATTTAGTCAAGCTCAACTTCACTCCAAGAGATGCACGCAGCTCCCAGCTCACGCTCCCGTGGCTTCGCTCTTTGCTTGGGCCGGGTTCCTATTTGCAAATGTGAGGCTCTGGCCCCCCTCCCCGTCCCGTTCTCCAGGGAGCCCAAAGACAAGCTTTAGACCTGGCTGTGTCAGCACCTTACCAGGCCAAAGGATGCAATGCTTTCACTCCCATTTCCTCCACAAAATGAGAAATCAACAGTCTGTGTCCAGGCTCAAAACCCCAAATTTGGAGGATGCACTGAGAGATACTGAAAAAGTGGAGGAATGCCAAGGACCAGTCCCCCCCTTGCAAGCTCCCCCCACACCCAACGAGGATACCGAACGCCCCCACTAATGAAGGCTCACAACAGCCAAATTCCCAAGTCTGGGAGGAGAGCCAAGCGCTGGTCCTCCAGAAAGAGTGGGCCCGACCTGGGAAGGGCACCCCACATGGCAGCGCCTGGGACGTACAGACTCCAGAGGGGGATGCAGGGGCAGGCAGAGCCAGGCAGAGAGCCTCTCCACTCAAACGCGACAGTCCCAGCATCTACGAGCCTGAGGACAGCGGCACGGTGGGGAAGGCAGGGCAGCCTGTACACGCAGTCTTGTTTGGCTTGCTCCGGTGTCCAGACTTAGACACCTAGCGAACATGCCACGCAGCGAAAGCAGCTGGGACTTGCCCGGCCGCCCTAGGCACTCAGCAGCAGGTCCCTGTATCTTCCAGCACCTTTCCAGGGCCTTTCCAGGGACAAGGGGGACGAAGGCTTTATACATCAGGCAGGTAGCCCAAGCTGTTTTGTGGCCACACCCCCAGCCCTCACCCTTCTGTCGGTGACTGTCGTCCAAACAATTGGAGTCCCCGTAAAGCACGATCCGGCCTCCGCCCTCGGCTGGAATCTGATAAAGTCCCAAAATGGGTACGTTTTCAACAATTGCCGTTTCCTGCTTTAAAACCTCCAATCCTAAAAAAATACCACAATGAAAACAAAAATATTGAGGAATAAATTATTTCTTTTGTCGAGGAATGAAATGATTTTCCAATCGCTACTTGATATTTAATCCACACGACCATTACTTGACATTTAGTCCACAAGACCAAAAGGAAAAAAAAAAAATCACAGCAAAATCTAATATTCAATCACAACAGTGCAAACTTTTACAGCACGAAAATGTTTTAAGTGCCATTAATTTGGTTTTAGCAAAACTCACATGTGTACAGACATTTCCTGCCATCCTCTTATATTTTCACTTGAAATGGTGGTACATAGTATTTTTAATCCTGAAAACACACATACATGTCCCCTCTGATTCTGCTGAAAGGCCTATGTCCCGGGGCTGCGCTCACAAGGGGCCACAGGCCAGGCAGCTCTCGGTATACATGGGTACCTTTGCGGATTCAGTTACACATACCTAGGTTTGACATTTTATTATTAAAAATGAGGACAAATATAACTAATTTTTTTTTTAAAGGGATAGTCTTTTTTTTTTTTTTAATTTTATTTATTTATTTGACAGAGAGAGACACACCGAGAGAGGGAACACAAGCAGGGGGAGTGGGAGAGGGAGAAGCAGGCTGATGTGGGGCTCGATCCCAGGACCCTGAGATCATGACCTGAGCTGAAGGCAGACGCTTAACGACTGAGCCACCCAGGTGCCCCCAAATATAACTAATTTTTAAAACAGATGCCCACATACTTTAAATTCACATTTAAGACACTGGTTACGTTTGTCTCACGATACAAATGTTCCCACAGTGCAGCCTTCTTACCTCTGCCCAATCAGATGACACAGTTTACAATAAGAACCGAATCAAGAAGTCAAAAATGCATCAGTGCCACGGGGAGCAGCTGCCAGTGACCTCACCATACAGCCTACAAGGCCGGCCCTGAAGCCAAAGCTCTCCTCTGCACTGGACAGGACGCACATCTGCTGCACGCTGCTCACCGTGCTGGTAACATCTAAATTACAGTCTGTGGCTGTAAAAATATGGCATTTCCTGCTGTCTGTGCACAACCCCACTAGGAACTAAGTGCAAGAGAAAACAAGATTCTCTTTGTTGGAGGGAAAGACAGAGCAGGAAAACAGATAAAATGGGGCGAGTGCGCACTGCGTTGCCACACGGCCTCGTGGTTTGTCAGAGGTTTGTTTCTGACAAAAGGGTCCCTCTTGATCCAGCATAACCTAGATTTTCAAATTCCTATTTCGTACCCAAAAGATTATTCAACTTAAAGGCTATCTGTAAATTAAACGCCACTTAGAAAGGACTTGAAGACAATTAATTTTTATTTTCACCAGCAGAACAGCGAAACAGGCACCCTGAAATCTATAGTGATATGCCCCCCTCCCCAAACCAGGCAGCAATAAGCCGACAATGAAACCACTACTCTCGCACCTGCACCAGAAACTACGCTGCCCTGGAAAAACGGATTCCAGAAGAAATCACTAGCCCATGGTAAACTGTGCCTAGCAACTGGGAACACAGAATCATTGATGTGCCTCAAGTTAAAATACAACCTTATGAACACAGATCTATTTATTGACTGACCTTGCCTTGATGAAGGGAAAAAAAATCACTCTAGGTAATAAAAAATAAATTCTATCTTATAAGTGCAAACAGATGACAGAGAAATTCTGCCTTCTTATCATTTTTAACCAAAGAAACTGTCCTAACTTCCAATTACAGAAAATGGCGACCTTCATTAGAAGCAAAACTGCAAGGAAGACCTTTCTTTTCTTCAAATTCTTTAAGATTTTAAGTAATCTCTACATCCAGTGTGGAGCCAGAACTCACAACCCCAAGATCAAGAGTTGCATGCTCCACTGACTGAGCCAATCAGGCACCCTCTCTCTCCTTCAAATTTTTTTTTTTTTTAAAGATTTTATTTATTTATTCATTAGAGACAGAGAGAGAGACAGAGGCAGAGGGAGAAGCAGGCTCCCCGCGGAGCAGGGAGCCCGATGCGGGACTCGATCCCAGGACCCTGGGATCATGACCTGAGCTGAAGGCAGACGCCTAACCGACTGAGCCACCCAGGTGTCCCCTCCTTCAAATTCTTAAGGGAATTTTAAGAGATGATCTGTAATTAATATTACAGATCTTAAAGTTCTTAACTTTAAAACAGGGTCAACATTTTTCTAAAATTTTAGTGATCTGGCAATCTAGAAGCAGAACTTCACAAATAGTAACAAATTTCAAACAACTGTGAAAGTCATTTAAAAAATCTACAAATATTCAACAGCTGCTCTCCTGAAGGCAATCTATTTATTTTGCAGTGATCAGTATCCACAAGTACTCAAATTATCTTTCAGCCCCCAAAGCCACCATCCAGAAGTCCTGCCTAAAGCAGGTACCGTGCAAATAATACTACAGTAAGCTTTTTTAAAAACACAAAACTGCTAAGGGGTACAGGGTGATGAAAATGTTGTGGAAGCAGCTAACAGTCATGGAATTGTACACCTTAAGAAAGTGTAAACAGAACAAAACAAAACCATTTAAAAAAAAAAAAGAGTAAATGTGAATTATATGCAAATAAAATGGTTATTAAAAGAAAAAGCAAAGAAACCAAAATAGCATTCCTTACCTTGGTCTTTAAACGTCTGTGTTATCACAATGCCATCTTCTGGAAATTTAGCGATGCTGCACCCTGACGCATAATACACTAGAGAAAAAGAGTTACTCGGAGTTAGTTACGAGAAGGCAGAGACACTCAACACTTTATCAACAGCTACTCATTCACCTCAAATGCAGTCTTTATGTCAGTTTTTCTAACACTGTTTTTCATTCTAAGAGCTTGCTAGCTCCGAATTCAAGCTAAAAAGTGCTGCTAATGTGAGGTTTCTGAATAGACTTCAGAAGTCAGAGCTTTGTCAGGGTGAACAGAGGTGAGAACAGTAATGCTCAGGATGTTGTTCTAGAAACTAGTTACCAAAAGCTGATCTGTGGGTAAACTTCTTAAATGAGGCATGCACAGTGATTTCATGACCAGAATTTTATAAAGCAGGGACCCGTGAGGAATTTCCTCTCTGGGAACACACACGAGTGAGGTCAAGAACCTGACTGGTGGCACCAAGATCAGGAATGCCCACAGACAAGATTCTCATTTGAAGATTATGGATAAACGACAGCTTTACTAAAATGTCTTTCTGGGAAGACACTGACTGGTTCTGCCTACAGACCCTGCTTCCTCAGGAATCACACCATCCTCTCCCTCTGAAACCTTAACTTCATAGACACATGGCTTATGCTCTCGCATCCTGAGATCATGTGCCCTATTCAAGAACAAGCGAAACCTTACTGTCATGGTTTGCTAAAGTAAAATCCCCTTCATACAGGCCGTCGCTGAACCCCATGTTCCAGACAGAGAGAAGTTCGTTCAGAGCAGGGACATTAGCCCCTCCGGTGTCCGGCATCCACCACTGCCTGTGGAAGAAACAAGGGGCGCAGGTTGTGAGGGGCTGAAGCCTGCCCCCCACCCGCGCCACACACACACACACACTCACTCACTCACTCAGTCTTTTCATGACGAAACTAAATGTCTCCTGCCGGAATCCAGCCCGTGCACACTAAGGTCACCTGTCTGGGTTTGATAATACAATGTACATGCTTCAGCCAGCGTGCACAATAAATCAAAGCTAAATTCACTTCACGCAACGCGTCATGTGAACACAAATACACCGCTATGGAGCCTAGACCTCGAGAGGGTCCATGAAAAGAGATGAGAAAAGAGTCTTTAAAGCTGAACTCACAGACTCTGAAGAAAAAAATTCAAAATACATTATGATACATTCATAAAACACCGGGAATCCTTGATCAATAACTTATCTTCTAGAAGGTTCCTTTAAATAACGGCTCCTTTCATCCACTTAAATTTGTATAGATTCAACAACAGAGATATGGGAGAAACTGACAGCTCAAGTATCTAAGATCAACAAGGGAAGACAATACCTGGGATCAAGGAGCACATCGCTTAGTCTATAAGCGACTCTCGGCAACATCGCTGCTCGGGAAGAGGGAGCCCACTCCAGCCCAGCGTCTGAACCTGACTCTGGCAACGGAAGGACCACTGCGGACCAGTCCTCTTAAGTACTTGCTAGACAGAATTTAATTCTCAAGAACCCGAATTTCTTATCAAATACCAACTTCTATGAGTACCTCGTATTTTCGTCGTAAAACTTGACTTTCCTCATGACAGATGTGTTATACCAATCACTGAAGACAATGAGTGACAGGCCATTGTCCACGTCCCTCCTCAGCTTGGCGACCTCCTCGGGGAAGTACTCCTCCTCGCTGTCCACCATGAGCAAAGTTCCTGAGGGACAGGGTGCCGGCGGTGAGTCTGCGCCTCTGAACCGCAGGATTCGCGGCTTCAGAAACACACTATTTCACTGGCATCCACGTCTCAAGCCCCAGCTTCTACTATTTTGGTCTGTGGTCCCCGTACCCCTCTACAAGGGGGTGAAAAACAGAGGACCCGGGTCCCAAAGCACAGTCACCTACTAACAACGCTGGGCTCTCTCGTGTGTGACACCCAGGTACACAGATGTCACTCACTGGAGAAGAAGCAAAATGCAGCGCTAGTTTCTTCTAATTAAAATAAAGACGTAAAATGCACAAACATCCTTGTCCCTAGTTTGCCAGTGTCCCCTTCCCCGAAGGTTACCACTGTCACTGCCAGACAGGAACACATGTCACTCTGCTTCCGAGCCTGGCTGCAGCCTCCCCGAGGACGGGAGGCCCTGCGCCGCTGGCTCGCTGCCTCTCGCTCACACTGCGTTCACCTTTCCAACGGTCCCCGCACACGCGACCCCGCGGGAAGGACACCTGGCCAGCGCCTGTGGCTACTCACCGTACTGACTCGCGTCAAAGCACGTGAACGGGGAGCCGAGGACTTCAACGAAGTAGCCCATGCTTCTCAGGTGCTGGTACATGTCCCTGAAGTTGGTGTGGATATGGTCACCGTTCCTGAAAGACAGTAAGCTCTGCGCTTGGGTGGCCCATCACTGCGGAGATGAGGGCTTAGCTAGCCACGCAGCTCACTTCCGAAAGCGGCCCCCTCGAGGCAGCGCAGCTCGCTGACAGCACACGCCCGGGGCGTCCGGCTCGCCCACCGACGACGGCCCTGCCAGACCCGCGGTCCCCGGGCTTGCACGTAAAATGGGTGATACCAGGAAACCGCACCTACAGCATGGGCTCGAAGGACACACCACGATGAGAAGGAACGGCCGCAGAGCTGCTCTGTGAAGTGCCCTGAAGTGTCACGTTAGCCGTGGCAGGCACGGAGAGCAACCACGCTGACCGAGCACGGGCACGCAGAGGCGCGGGACCTGCCCCGGCAGCTAGTGATCCCGTTAACCGTGCAGCAGCAGCGTGGATCACCTTTCCATCCCTTTTCCCCCGAACCTACTCATTTTCCCACTGTACCCTCTATGTAAGCCCCTAGCCAAGCGCCCTGTGGCAGCGCCAGGGGCCCCCTCCCTGCAGCCCTCCAGAGCCAGCTCCCCCGCAGGGCTGAGCCCAGGCACCTCTCCAGGACGTGGCCCTTACCTCAGCCTCTCAACTTCTCACCACTCCTCTCCCCCTGCCTCTGGTCTGAGCCTCCCAGAGACATCTTCAGGAAGAACCTGTTACACCTGTAAATGTCCTGCCCCCATCTTTCAAGGCTCCTTACTCCCCCACTCCCTGCAAGAAGTCCAAACTCCAGTACTTACAGAGGGCGGCGATGAGCCTGGCGTACGGGCCAAGAAGACGCCAAGCCAGCTGCCCTGGAGGGCAAGCCAGGAGGGCTGGCTGAGGGGTGGCATGGTGCAAGGTTTGCAGGGCGGAGCAGGACACACCAGGGAGTGTGGCATGTGAAGAGGCAGCCACTAGAGAGTTTTAGGCCACGTGTGCTCGAATTCCTGTTTTTTAAGATTACCAGGGCTGCTGCACAGAGAATAGGCTTTAGGGGAATAATGAGACTGGCCAGGAGGCTGCCACGCAGGCGAGCAAGGACAATGGCCTGGGTGCGGAGGGGGCGGGCAGCCAAGGTGGCGGCAGGCAGCTAGGGCAGGGCCCGGGACACACTGTGAAGGCAGGACTGGCAGAGTCTGCTGACTGACTCAACAGGAGTCAGGAGAGAGAGCAATCGAGGTCGAGCTCAGTGGTCGCAAATGCCGGGCTCCCCCTGCCGTGGGAGGACTGGGGGGGGAACGCGTGGCGGCTGGCAGCTGCTTACCAGTCCAGAGGGTCATTCTTCATTCTCAGGTTATCCCTGGGGAAGTAGCCAGGCGGATAGCGGAGGTTGTGGTACTGGTCCCAGAGGACTCTCTTGCTCCGTGGTGGGGCAGGAATGACCTTCACCTTCACCGGGAGCTTCACGGTTGAAGTCTGCTCGGCGCCATTTTTTGACTGAAATTAATAAAAGACATTCAAACTACCCCTTCTGCTCAGAAGAAACTTTCAGGCTTTTGGGTTTAAAAAATTACTTCTACATATCATTTGAACGCAAGCATTCCTAATGACAAATGTAGGAAGAAACATTCCCATGTCACAATTCATCCCATTAAAATTCTTCCTTTATGAGTTTAAGACGTAAAATTTAAGGCACCTTGTTCCTTAAAACTCTTGGACTACACAGGTTTAGCCCCACCGCCCCTTGTAGAGAACGCGTATTTTTGCAATCATTTTGAACTTGAACTCTGGCACGAAAACAGTCTTCCCTGCTGTTGCTCAGCAAGAGAATGGGAGGCAGCGCACTCACTGCTGAGTGGGCTCTGGAACTCCAGCTGCTCCGCAGGAGGCCCGGGGAGCACCACCCACGGCCTGTAAGCCTCATCACACCCGTCAACTGGCTTCAAACCCCAGACCCCAGGCACTCGGCCCGCGCCCACTTCCTGGCAGGAGCCAGTGGAAGGTGGACAGCAGGACCCTCCCTGGTGAGCACGCACTCTCACCTCCGCTGGGGAAGCTACGGTGACCGTGACGTGCCCCTGCGCAACACCTTCCCATGAAGCTGCCTTCTTGATGACAGAGATGGAGATGGCCAGGTAGCCTGACCACGGCCATAACACGGAGGAGTACGAGAAAGCAACTTCGATGTTGTCTCCATTCTGCGGTAAGTAGGGCTGCCAGTCAGGCTGCGGAGAAAAATAAGCAGAAGCTCTGGTGAGATACTCATTTGCAACCTTACCTGACTCGGTTTCAGACCCTGCTCCACTAAACAGCACCAAATGAAATTTATATTCATATCTTAAACTACCTTTAAACAAAGCAGACTAGGTAAAGTCTGGAACATCACCCACTAGGTCTAGAAACAACTATTTCAGACAATCTCCCACTTTAAAGAAAACTTTTTTCGCCAAGCTTAAAAAAAAAAAAAAGGACACATGGTTTGGCAAAGAACTTTGATCTGATAGAGAACGTAAATAAATGAAAGCTCTCCAATTTGTGAACAAATTCCAATTATTTGTATGCTTCAAGAATCACAGCAACGTAAAGGAATAAAATACTAAAATGGCGCGGATTAACTGTCCAAAGTCAGACCATGCAGCTAGTGGCCAAGCAGGCAGGTCTCTGCAGGACGCCCAGAGGAGGGGGCTCGGGCCTGGGCAGAGGGGAGCATGCAGGGAGGCATCTGGAAGAAACACAGACTCACTCCTGCGAAATGAACCAGTATTTCAAACCAACCTAAACTACTCATTTCCCTCACAAGCCAGAGAGCAATATTCTCCCCAAGTGAGTCAGCATATTAAAAAAAAAAAAAAAAAAAAATCCTGGAAAAGACGACAAATATTTGTAGGATATGGCACGACAAACAGTGCTGATAAATGCTCCAGGAACCACTGGTTAACAACAAAAAAAAGTTAATTTTTATCCATCTCTTATGACATGTATCAAATGAGCTCAATAATAATGAGAAAATTAAATATCTTACAAGCATAAAAGAACAATAGTAGAAAATAAAATCAAGATTTTTATCCTACTCTGGAGAGAAAAGTTTCTAATTTTTGGAAACGAGAAATCATAAAAGATGAAAATTCAACCACAGGGAAGTGTGGGGAACTTGTACAAAACCAAAAATAAGTAAGTAACACTACCTCTAGTGTCGAAGAGAAAGACACCAATCTGGGAGAAACTGATGCGCAGAAACACAGCAATGGTTAATTTCTCTAGGACAAAGAGATGTTCAGATCGACAGAGAGATCCTGAAATCCCGCAGAAAGAACGGGCCACGGGAATGAAAAGCTAACTCACACAATCGGGGATGAAGCTAGAGAGCGCCACCTCCCAGATAACTGGAGAAGAGCTCAGAAGCAAGACATACACGTTATCCCCTCTGAATTTAAAGTTAAAAGATGAACCACATACAAACAAACCAAATGTCCACCAACTGATGAATACACAAACATGGCCCGTCCACAAAACGGAATATCCCTCAGCTTGAAAGAGGAACGAAGCACTGACGTGCTACGACACGGATGAACCGTAAAGACGCTGCGTGTCGTGGAAGGCCAGTCACGGTGGGCCACGCTGGGCATGACTCCATGTATATGGGCTGTCCCCAACAAGCAAATGCAGAGACAGAAAGCACCTCAGGAGCTGCCCGGGGCTAGGAGGAGGGAGAATGGGGAGCGACTGCGAACAGGGGTTTCCTCTTGGGGTGATGAGAATGTTCTGGAATTACAGAAAGTGATGGTTGCAATCACTATTTGTCAATATACTAGGAATTCCTGATTCACTTGATTTAAAAGGCTGCATTTTATGTACATGAATTTTATTTCGATTTTTTTTTTTTTAAAGATTTTATTTATTTGAGAGAGAGGGAATGAGAGACAGCACGAGAGGGAAGAGGGCAGAGGGAGAAGCAGACTCCCTGC